AATTGGCTCAGGCTGTACTCAGCAGGAGAGGACAAATGGTGGAGATCCTTTTCTCTGCCTGTATTTTCATGTTTTGTGTTGTTTTGGTTGTCTTGGATGATTCGGGGTGGGGAGCGGTTGTAATTCCCCCAGCCAATGTCAGCGTGCAGGTGAATTGAGGAGTGAATACAATTTAGCAATTGGACTGGATTCAAACTGGTGAATATGAGGGACGTGGATGTGGAGGGAAGACAAAATATAATCACAGTAGGCGAAACGCTGAGCGAATGAAGCTGATTCTAAAACGAGGGGGAACCTTCACTTGGCTCCTACCCTTGGGCAGCATTGGCCTGCTTCCTGCTGGACAGGCAGGTGCCAAACACTCTTGGTTCTTGTGCTAGTGTGCTGAACTGTCGGCTATTGGAACGTATCTACTGACTCTACCTTTAAGTATCTTATGGATGATACTTCTTGAATTTGTCATGCTAAGGTCAATGTTAACAGGCAGCCAGTTTTGAAAAAACTGGAATAAAAGCGTTGTCATTGGCATCGGCCTCAGTACAGCCCAGGGTTGTGCTTTGTCAACAATTCTGTATTTGATTTTATGAACAGAGTCTCAAGGGGCAGAAGAGAGGCTGAGAGTCAGGTGACCTCTGGGTTGCATTCCTGCTTTTTGCCAGTGTAGTTTTGTTGGCTTTAAGCACTGGGGCAGTTTGCAGCCAAGTGGGAAGCAGCTGATAACAGAGTATGTGCCCTGCAAATCTGAGGCCATGATACTCTGACATGATCTTTAGCTATAATACAAGTTCAATTCCCATATGATAGAGTTTACAAGAGTTACTACATGGCAGTAGTCAAGTTTTAGCAAAGTAAAGTGAAATACTTCTTTATCTACTTTTACAATGTTTGGCTTGTTTTCTTTTTTTTTTGCTTATATTCTTTATCTTGTTTGTTAGAGATGTAGTTACCATATCAGATTTATTTTTCTACGGAAATGCTTCTTCAATGACCAGGATGAAGTTTTCTTTTATTGCTAATCACATTACTTTGATATCTCACTTAAAGATAATATTTTAATACAGTCTCACACTTCAGTCATGCGAAAATTAGAATCAGAATCTGGGGTTTTTGCCAAGGACATTTACACATACGTAAGGAATATGACTTGGTGTTTTGGATCAAAACAATTAGCAAAGGACTAAAGCAAAGATAGTAAAAAGATATAAAAACATCAGTCTTCTGCTGAAAACTTAAATAAATAAGATTAAAAATAAAACAAGCAGTTTAAAAATATATAATAGAATATTTGAAAAAAAGGAAACACAACATGTACAAAGGATGCAATGGAGGAGCTGTGCAGTTGTGCAGGTATGTGAATTAATTACAAAAAAATCTCTCTCTTCAGTATAAATATCCTCTCAGTGTGCATGTAAACAGAAAATATCCAAGTCCAGTGTGTGTTAATGTAACGCATAAATCAGTTCCAGTCTTCACTTTACTGTACTGTTCTCTGACTGTGGGGCTGGATGAGAGTCTGTGTTATGTCGGGGGAGAGGGGGGGGGCAGGGACATTATTAATGAGGCTGGCAGCAGAGGGAAGGAAACTGTTCTTGTGGCGTGAGGTTTTTGTCCTTACAGAACGCCTCCTCTTAACAGAGGGGAGGGTCTCAAACGCTCCGTGTCCGGGGTGAGAGGGGTCGGCCACAATTCTACCTGCACGCCTCAGGGTCCTGGAGGTGTTCAGGTCGTGGAGAAAAGGTAGATTGCAGAGCCAGTCACTCTCTCTCTCTGATACGCTGTAGCCTGCCTTTGTCCCCCTCATTAAATCACGATTTAATCTTTACTTTACTTCTTCGACAAATTAAATATGTCGTCTCAATCGTTTTGGTGTTCATAGTGAACACCACTAGAGGGCATCATAGCTTTTTTTCTATGTCGACTTCCCTATATCATATAAACTCATATTTGACCTTGGTCTTATTTAAACTTAAACAATCATTTATAGATTTAGATGCTTTTTTTATGTATGTAACAACTAAACCATGACACTCTTTGTCAAACTTTATCTTAAACATCTACACACAAACTGGGGTTCAAAATGTTCAGTGCTTCTACTGTATTGTATGGCTGCGATGTATGTGTAAAATATAAAGACTTATTTGGGGAGTTGTGACACAGTGACCTCTCTTTGACCCTAAATTCACATCCTCATCTCGATTGACACATCAACCCTAATTGTGCAAGGGTCTCTGCACCTGCCTCTTTTATGAAAATTAAACACACCCACACATGCTCCCAGTCAGTATATTTTATTCATTCTCCAGATGCCTATTGTCTACTATTGTCTTTGCAATAAGATGATCTTTGCTTTAAAGGAACTTCCCACATGCGTTTTCACAATACATTGAGTATCAACCAAGGTGAGGATTCAATTTTTTTGTTTTATTTGAGGATATAGAGATCTAAAAATGAGAACCGTGGTGTTTTAATATGGCAATTTGATAAAGGTCTGAGAACAGCAGAGTTTGGCAACAGATCACATGTTTTGCATTGTGTACTTAAAAAGTGGATTGTGTTGCTAAGTGATTTTCCTGCAAATGCCTGAAGGGAATAATTCCCAAATCCCCATTTAAACAGCATATTATTAGCAGCTTACCAAAAGAACCATAAGAAAAAAGTCGGGGGAAGCTTAAAGCCTTACCGTCAGTCTGATTGTTATTTTTATTTAAGAGGGGGATTCTTGTCATTGAGGGATTTTCTGCTTTGTCATTCTGTACAGGATTTCCCTCCTCTGGGGGAAATGTGCTCATATTTGCTTTCTGCTAAGCAACTTCCTCCTTCAAAGGCTGCTCAAACAATACATGCACACAGCTGGCTTTCAATTTGAGGAATTCCTAAGCTGTGGCAGGAAACTCTTTGGTGGTATCTATAGAAGTGAATCAAATGAGTAAAAAAAGATGAATTAAACATTTGCAAATAGATGAGGTCATCTTTCATTTATACAAAACATTTTAACAGTACCTCAAATTCCCTTCATAATGCAAAAACCGAGATCATCCCGCCACCAAAAAGCTTGTAAAACAAGTTACAAACTTAGTTAGATATTGTTTCATGAAAACAAATGTGTTTTTTTTTTGCTGATTTTTACGCCCTTCTTATTGTGATTTTTCTTACAGTGTTTTAGGTCTTACACTAGGCATTCGCCTTTTTAGGTATTCGGACGCTGTTCATGGTTTGTTTACATCAGTCATATTTGTAAAATCAGGGAGAAATTGGCCTGAATTTAAAAGTATGATCAGTGCAGATGATGCTGTTTTCTTTATGCAACTTTTCCAGAACACATAGACATCAGTGCCGTATGCTATAAGAGACTGTATCTCTAAGTTTGATTTTAAAAGTCCCTGATTGACCTTTAAAAACTAGCAGATTCCTAATAAGTGTTTCTAAGTGTGACGAAGATAGACCCATTCGTGTCTAATGCAGTTGCTTCAGGAATTAGGCTACTCTAGTTAAAAACTGGGTTAACCCATCCCAAGTCTACAATAGTCCTGTTTGCCCTCCTTTTAGACAAGCTGCAGTGACAGAGAGGCTCAGGTCTTTGCTCTCCTATGATGCAGGTAGGTAAGCCTGGCAAGCGTTCATGGTAAGGAACCCACCATACGGTGAGTAGATCTGGCACAGACCTATAAAACAGGGTCAATTATGTGGCAAACATGGAATCAAGTTAACGTCTTCCAATTAAAACATGCTAACATCTTGAAACCCCTCACTTTTGAAACACAGATAATGTGTCATTTGTCCTAAGAGATGAACACTTATATATGTATCAAAAGACTATAATAAATACATGCAAGTTGAAACATATCTTATCTTCTTTATCTCATATCTGTATGTTCCATGGTTAAAAAAATATCAGAATCTCTTCCATTCTATATAAGTGAGGTCAAGTTTGGGTATTTTACGTTGTTTTTTCATTGTGAATATAACTTGTCATCAGCAGTTGGTCTATGTTAAACATTCTGACTGCAAACACTGCTGGGAGCCTTCAGGTCCAAAGCACTTGCTGCTGACATTGATGAGTGCACAATTTAGTCAAATGTCTGTCCAAACAAACAGCAGCACACTTATGTTATCTACTGTCAAAATGCACTTGTTGGACTATTATTGTCTGTAAGCACTTTTTAATACAGCTGTTATGTGGTTGTTGAATTGTTCATTTTGTTTTTCTCTGAAAAGTTGACTTCTAACTGAGTCAGTCAACAAACAAGCTGTTGAGAGGCTAAACTGAATTGGCATTCTGCTTATACTAATTATTATCATTATCCGTGGCTTCGTGCAGCCAGCCAATTGAACATTCGTGGTACTGCAGTTTTTTGCACTCTCTTTTTCTTGCACCTTTTCGCAGTCACAGTGATTTTTAGTTTAGTTTAGTTTATTTGTTTATTGTTTCGTCGACAGTCCCCTTTAATTTACTGTACAGTAAAAGAAGCAGCTTTAGCCTTTACGGCTAATTTCCAGCTGTAGTCCCCGGCAACATCTTGGACTTTACTTTTTTTTAGCTCTACTTCCAGCCCTGAGGGAAAGACAAACATGTTCTATCAGTAAATAAATAATAGCCTCATAAGAGCCATGACAGTGAACACAATCTCATATAAAATATATGTAAATGATCATATTGGCCTTATATATTAAACTTATACAAGCCAATAGCTAAATTTAATAACCTGTAAAAGTAAAATAGCCAAATATTACTGGTTCTTTTATAATCTTACAAAGTTTTGTGTAATACTAAATGTGTAATAATAACCCCTTTTTGTCGACCCAAATATTTACAGACTCTGGGTATAGGCCTACCAAACTTTATCTGCAGTTTGAATGCCTTTTAGGTCACTGAGGCCATTGTTTTCAGCCCCTGAATTCATTATAGGAACAATAGAGAGCATTAGGACCCTGAGGCAGAGAAGGCTTCCCCCTCTCTCATTATCCATGGATTTGACAGCTTGAGCGAGCGACCAGTCAGAGAGAGGATGTGATGTGGAGAAGGAGGCGGTTTATTACAGGATTATTTTGCGTTACGCCGAAGTTTTGTGAAAATTCTCGTTTGTTTGAAAGCCAGCGACAGGTCCACTGCAATGTCTGCCAAACACAGCTGCTCATTATTGGACACATTTTCAACCGGGTAATCCAGAGTTTTGCGTTTGGATTACTATACATTTCTGCTCCTGCTGTGTTTTGTAGCTTGACAAATCTATTCAAAGTATCTTCCAGGACCGGATCACTTGCTGTGGACCTAAATGTTACTTCTCGAGTTGGTCCTTATTTGGGAGATTGTTTGACTAGCCGGTGAAGTTAGTCTCACTGTGGAGGCTGGAGACGCACACGTGTTATTATCCCATTTTCTCCGTTTGGGAAACATTTATTCTTCAGCACTGTCCGGATAAAAGTTGTAGTTTTTTTTTCTCTGTTAGAGATTTGATACATACAGAGACAAGGTAGAAACATGTCGCTAAGCAGAAGCATTGAATTTGAACACTTCGAGGAACGGGAGAAACCGCACCGGACTCCGAGGACCAACTCTGGCTCCGGGTGCCACTCCGGCAGCAGAGGCAACGGTCTGGTCCCCAGCCCTGCGCACAGTGCGCACTGTAGTTTCTACCGCACACGCACTCTGCAGTCCCTCACCTCTGAGAAAAAAGCCAAAAAAGTGCGCTTTTATCGCAATGGGGACAGATATTTTAAAGGTCTGGTGTATGCTGTGTCTAACGACCGGTTCAGGTCTCTGGATGCTCTGCTCATGGAGCTCACAAGGTCTCTGTCCGACAATGTCAACCTTCCTCAGGGAGTTCGCATGTTATACACGCTGGATGGATGCAGGAAAATCGCCAGTCTGGATGAGTTAGTCGAGGGTAAGGTTGATGATGGATGTAGCAACAACTTTGTGACCACAAATCATGAAAGAATGTCAATACGGGTTTATATTGATGATGGATAATGTGCATTGATGCGGACATCCATTGATTTCATAAAAGCGAGATTTTGCTCTGATAATTGGCTAAATACCTCCATGTAGATTTACAATAGCAAAGCCTTTGGCAGAAGTTTATAAGGTCAAAGCAGTTCCACATTTAATGGCTGGCACACAATGGCTCTTAAACTGCGGTGTACTTTGTTTTTATAACATGTTGCCAATAAAAAAAAAAAGTTCTCTCTGCCAGACAAAAGATTACTTATGGATCATTTCTCCTTTTTAGTAAAGAGAACTATACTGTACTTGTATCCCAAGAAAATATACAGTATAACTGATGCAATGCAGAGCATCATCTGGCATCATTCACATTATCTTCCTCACTGACATAACTGCTCTGACATGTTTGACCCAGTGTCATGCATAGAAGAGGACCCCTCTCAGTGCAGATTTAGCTTCTAACATGCTCCTGCTAATGTGCGTCAGCATGCATTGATTTCACTCTTTTTCATTCCCTCCCCTCTTTAGCATGTATTAGTGGGCTCAGTTTGTGTGGGTCTGAAATTTCCTTGTGTACCTTTTTTAAGTGTGATTCTGCGTGGGACTGAATGTGTGATGAATGTGTGTGTTGTTGAAGGGTTGATTGCCTGTTAAAGTCTTTTTTTTAAAAATGATATCACCCCTGGGCTTTAGGGATGGGAGTTTCCATCCCCCATCCACTATCTGTGCATCACTTAAAGTATGAGGGAGGAAATAATGGGGTTTAACACAGGAAATTGTATTATAATTTGGAAACTAATATGATAGATAAAGCCAACATTTATGTGCCATGAATTAGATTTTAAGATAACATCTGCTAAATAGTTAGTTTATAGTTGTTGTTTTTTAGGTAAATCACTAACTGACTTCTTGTGACCTCCTTGCATACCTTCTTAAACATGAGGCTACTGCTCTGCCACAAATAAACCTAGAATCACTGACCTCTTTTTGCAGGCATTATTCACATATACTGCTCCATTTTCATCCTAACGTCCTCCCAAAACTTTAGAAATGCTACACTCATTTCCCCTGCCCCTCTCCCTCGAGTGACGGGGGAGATTTAGGCCAGAGTGTGATCTAAATTGTGTAGCATCATGAGAGTAGCAAGATGTGCAGAAGTTGTTTTGGTGCACTGGATCTAGTACACAGAGCATTCTGTCAGTGTCCTTACATGTACAGACTTTTTGATTTTGATGCATTCAATATGAACTAAGAAGTACTCACCAGAGCACTAGTATTCAGGTTTATTAAAATCTGACTTAACCTCATACTGTCAATGCCCAGTGATCTTAACCGACACACATGCAAGTCATGAACATGGGAACCTCTCAGGAGGGTTTTTGCAGAATAGCTCGATAAAAGCTTCAACTGAAATGTATTTTTATGGGAAATTCTGGGAAATTCACTGACCTAACTGTGGACAGTTGTTGCACTTTTGCCTGCACTATTATTAGTCTAATGTATGATGGGTGTATGTTATGGGTCATCCTTGGTAACATGGATGTTATCTCGAGCTGTCATATTTTGCTTTCATAGTGAGTAAACCTTTTGTACCTTGAGGTTCTCAGTTGAAATTACATACAAACCATTTGCTCTGTGGTTGTGTTTCATGGCAGGTACTAGTGTAGGCACTAGTGTCTTGTCCCTGTTTACTCATCTAATGGAAAGAGCAAGGGAACATTACTGCGCAGCTCAGCAGTCTGCCTCCATTGATTGAGTCCTGCTGGGGCTCTTTTGTGTGGAAACCCAATAAGCACCTCTCACATGTGTGCCTCATATGGCTGAATGGGATTACTGCGCAAACCAGTCTACTTGAACCTTTTAACCACGGGGTTGGGGGGGCGGAGTAGTGAGCCATGCTGTTAACAGCTGAGTTGTAAGTGTTCTGCTTGTTGTTCTACAAAGTGAAGTTCTTTATCTTTTTGCCAAGTTGCAGTATAGTTAGTCATAAAACAAAGTCTCTGCCCTTTTTGGCTCATCATTGATGTAAGTGTTGTGTCTGCCTTCGAACCATATACATCACATAGAGCAGTATATGTCAGTTTCTGTTTGAGAAGACCTGTTTTGTTAAGAAAAATCACTGGCACAAGGCATTTTAACCTTACTTCTAAAGACCAGTGCCTTGGCCTTTTCCATTCTTTTTTCAAGATTTGCTCTCGCCCTCTACCAAAGAGCACCTTCTTTTTGTACTATTAATAGTTCTCCAGTAATAAGCAGCATTGTCTTGTGTGTTGTTCATTTTAGAGCATTTGTGAATTCACAGTGTACTCGGAAAGCAATTTGGAATGAGTCTTGGGTGGCTGATCTAGGAATGGTGAAATACTTGTCAAGGTCCTGAGAAAACCTGCTGTTTCTGGATTTTGTTGCTTCTGACGTCTCCTAAGGGTAGACTATTAAAATATGAACTCATTCTTAAAAGAGTAATTGTTTTGGGGGGGTTATCTGGAGAGAGGAAAAAAAGTTGCACACAGTTGTGAATACCTGTCTAATTAGTTGTGGTTAAAGGGGTATGGCTCCAGGATAACACTGAGCTGCAGTTTGAATATGCTCGTTCATCTTGGTTGGACTTGTACTTTCGATTTTAGAGCCACTCTGTGTTCACTCAATACATTTTAAAGTTATGGCTGTGTTAATGTAAATACTAAACCGATCGTATGCTGGTCATACTTTTTAAATGTCATACTACAATGGTAGATCAGTTATCATGAAAAAATAATTCTGGTAATGCTGATAATGTGTCGATATATCAGAACTATTTTATGTTCCTTATTTACTTTACATTACTTGGGGTTTGCTTACAGCTGTGCCACCACTGCAGTAAAAGCAGCTGAACTGGTTAGACAGCTCTATTAATGTTGACCTCATCTGTCGTCCACACGAGGACAGCGGGGGGGGTGATCGGGGCTCCCCTCACAACACAGACGAATGTTGCACCTGAGAACCCTGCACCTCAGGGAATCGACTTGTCACCAGTCACCATCTGAGGGCATTTCAGTGTTCTGGCTTTGCCCCCTCCCCCAGATAAATGACAGACCCAGTTGTATTTTGATTCAAATGCAGGCATCTCTCATTCCCCCCAGCTGTCGCCCAGCCTTTTAATTAGCCTCTGGTTAATTGCAGGCTTAATAAAGCCATCTATCATGGGATATGCTGTCTCATATGGCCTTCTTACTCTGCAGCTCCTTTCGTTTGTCTTGACAAATATTACATAAAAAGAAGAGAGATGTTTTTTTTCTCTAGCTGGTTAACTATCCAGAAAGAAAATGGATATAGAATTTAGAGTAAAGGAGCTGTCAGGTGTCTTGTGTTTGTGGACACTTAAATACTTCTGTGATGAATATTGTATGAAAGGAAAGTAACCAACACTTCCCACTTTCCCTCACTTTTAAATTCGTCATCCAACATTCGGCCTCCAAAACAATCCCCAGACATTCTTGCCGTGGTTTTCATTTACCGGCCAAGCCCATGGACTTGTCACATGACTCTCATTCTTGAGGGGAAACATTTGCGTGTTAACTGTTCAAAAGGAATGCTGACAGATAAAACAAAACGCTTTGCCTTGGAGGACGGCCAATGCAGCAGCTCAACAGCTGAAAAGGGAGAGAGGAGAGTGTAAAACTGGCCTGGCCTTTCAATGTGCCTTTTTGTTGTAGCTGAGGAATGTTAACTCTTTCTGGCTTTTGGATGCAGTATTTCATGGCACATAAACTATGTTAAGGAGGATTATTGTGAAGCATATGTTTACAATATTTCAGTTCAGTCTTTTTAGAGATAAAGTGAGGAAGAGAGACATATTTTTACTGACAGTTCTCTGATCTCTAATCTACAGGTGAAAGCTACGTGTGTGCCTCAAACGAATCCTTTCGACGTGTGGACTATACCAAGAATGTCCACCCCAACTGGGCAGTGTGCAGCAAGACCGGCACATCCCGCTCCCTCTCCTCTCTCTTCCCGCTGAAGAATGAGCTGCTGCGTGAGTCCAAGGAGTACATCAAACCCAAACTGGTCACAGTCATCCGCAGTGGTGTCAAACCTCGTAAGGCAGTGCGGATACTTCTCAACAAGAAGACGGCGCACTCCTTCGAGCAGGTGCTTACTGACATCACAGATGCAATCAAGTTGGACTCAGGAGCTGTGAGGAGACTGTACACTTTGGAGGGCAAGCAGGTGAGTCTTTCATAATGCATACATTCCAAATTATAAACTTGTGCAAAACCAGCCTGTGAAACAAGTTTTTTTTTTTCCCCACAATATTTGAACTAATTGACTAAAAATGACTTGAGATGACAGTTTGCTGGAATTAACAGTATTGTTCTCAGTCTCAGTGAGATTTGATTATGTGAATATAAAAACCAGATGGATCTGCTGTGCTGAGCTTTATAGCCAAATGTTGTATCTTGTATTTATAGGCTTCTGCTGTGTCAGCAGTTTGGGTAATTACATCTCGTTTAATCATCCATACATAATTACACGCCACGATTATTTCAACAAGACACTAATGAATACATTTAAAAGTTCAGCGCTTTGGTTGAACCTATTAGTATGGTTTCCTCCCTACCTCTTCTACGTCTTTAAATCCAAGTGAGGCTGTTTTTACTCAAATTCTATCCATCTGGGACACAGGTACATTTACATTTTTATCTTAAAATCCCATGGTGTGATGAGATGAGTTGAGCTCAAACACATGGTGCCCCTGATCGAGAAGATTTATATGACGCCTCATCTGAAGAAGTCTAACAATAATTATCATGAATTATCATGGCTCATTTGTCAGTTTCCTGAAGCAGTTGAAGCACATGATTATGATGTAAATAAATGTCCGAAGCTATATTGGGTTGTTGTGGAAATCCATACATTTACAATTTTAATTTAAAAAAAATGATTATCTGTTAATGTGTCAAAAACAAACAAAACTCTCCCAAAGCCAATGTAGAAGCCAATGAATATGTCAGTCATTGTCTTGAGTGTCAAAAGGCATGAACTCAAATCAAATGTTTCTGTGACATATATCTGGTTTCTATGACTCGGCCCTGCTCCAAGCACTTCTGAAATAGCACAGATGAGGCTGTGTTTACTCATAAAACAAAAAAGGGGGGGGAGACAGAACTTTTTAGAAAGGGAATACAACATCAACTTCGTCCCCTCTATTTGAGTAGATGGGTTTTTTTAAGCGGGATGTACTTTGCATATTTCTTAAGACACTGGTTTAAATTACCAACTTCATAATAAATAAATCACAATTGGGCTTTAGTTTAATTTAGTCCAAAACTACACCAAAAATGAATTCACACTTAGTTGAAAATAGTTTATAATGTGAGAAAGATTCTTGAAGAATTGCCTGTCTTGTGAGAATCCCAAACCAGCTGATGTTTGTTCCCTGTTTGAAGACAGGAGTCTTTCTAGACCGGACAGTCGAGACAAGTGACTCATGAGAATGGTTATAACCTCTGACAGGGTGAACCAAGCATCCATCCTGTCAAACCAGTACAGAGCAGTACAGTGCAGCACACTTTCTAATGCATTCGAAGGATTATAAAGTTGTATCAAGTATTGCATGAAGTATCTTGTTAATTTTCATGATCCTAGTTTTCCTATATTCTATCCCGATTCCAGCCATGATTCAAGCCATGATTCCATCTGTGATTCCACCAATGATTCATCCCCATGATTCCATCAGTGATTCCGTCTATGATTCTATCCTTCCATGATTCCATCTATGATTCCCATGATTCTATCCATCTATCCAGCAGTCCACCTTCAGATGATTAATGTCTACAGTAATGTAATGATCAGTGTTCTACATGGTGTCAACAAATGCTCATGTCTTTCACAGTAACGTCTTTTGGATTAAATTCAAAAGGTTCCATTTTGATAATGAAAATAGAGGTCGATTGTAAAAGTCAGCTGTTGGCTAAACACCATCGTCAGCATAGATGATAATGTATGACCCTTTTACTGCATTAATTCCATACAGAGACACATGATGCATGTTCAACCTTTATTGAACAAGGAAGTCACATTGATACCGAAATCTCTTTTACAAGTGCTATATAGCCAAGACAGGGTCAAATAGAAATATACAACACAAATATTTATATATATATATAACTTCATTATAATAACAATCAAGCACTTTTTGTTTATTTTATGCGCAGAGCTTCAGATAAAAAAGTATTATAACTATTTGTGAAACCCTTAGCTTAACTTGCATTGAAACTTATTCCAACATCCTGTTCCTAAATGGTGTCTTTACAGACAAAGGACTGCTTTTTATAAATGAAATGCTTTTTAATAAATCAAAACCATAACATGCTTAGATTATTTTTGTTTAATTCTCTTAAATACAACCTTTACTTGAGAGTTATTGTACATACACTCTTACAAAAATCTCTTGGTTAAGGGTGAATAACTTTATTACAGGTGGTTTAAATGATCTTCAGCATCTGTTAGAAAGCACCCAAAATAATTCAGTTCCATCTGCCAATAGAACAATGGAGACAAACAAAGGAGGCAGCAGACAATGTCAGATTCACTCTTCTAGTCTCACCCTCTTGTCTTCAACAGGCCTGTTAAAGGATTTAACTAATTTAGATGATAAACTCATTAAGCTTGTAACTTAATCCTGAAACCAGAGCAGGACCTGACAATATCCTGTCAAAGAAGGCAGTAACTTCTTTCTTTCACATCGGTTGAAGAAATGAAATATGTCTTAATACTGACTACTTTGAGAATTAAAGGAAAACATTTTAGCTCTAATCTTTTCACTTTCTCCTGCCCTCCAATCAAAAACCTTGCTCTAACCTTCCCGGACCACTCTGAGTGTTGAACTAAAGATCTCTTTCAACATTGTCACTATCTTGTGAAATTAACATGTTTCAAGAGTTTATTTGACTAAACAATCACAGACATTTTTTTAGCCTGTGAAGGAACATATTCTCAAGGTTCATCTAAAGATTTCATAATCATCCAATTGTTGTACAACCAGAAGATAGATACCAATTTTGAGCAAATCCACAGTAAAATGAACATACAGTACAGTAGATTGGAGGTGAGGAAAAAAAACCATGCTGTCCCTCACACCAGCACCTTGCTATCATCATTTTTGAAAATGACATTTCATCAGTCTGAAACAACCCAAAACACAGAACCTTGTGTAAATCTCAGTCAACAACCTTTGATTTCCATTTTTTTTTAAAATCCTAGGTTTAGGTCCCAATGTTTCGATTTAGAAATGGTCAAAGATATCAATGTTTTATTACAGGAGCATCAAATTATAACACAACCATTTAAACATAGCCTTATAAAAGTAAGGCCCCCATCTTAGTCACTCATACACCCAGAAACACACAAACACACACTTCCCAAATGCCTTCCAGCAGCATCCTGCCATCTGCTCCTCCAAAATCCAATCACAGGTCCCAGCCACCCGGTCTTGCAGGCACTTCAGCCCCCTCCCACTGATGCACACATACACACGCACAAACAACGTTTCACACAAGCACTAAGAGGCCCCTCCTGTGGGGCCCTTGCCACCACCGGATAATTAGACCTAAAGGCTGGAAGGGAGGGTTATAGTACAGCTGTCAGGTGTGTGTGTTTGTGTGTGTTCGTATTCAAGGACGTGCACGTGATGAGTGAGTGTGCTTACAAAATACGTCTCTGTCCACTCTCTCTTTCCTCAAATCAAAGCTGCTCTTCAGACTGAATGTTAATTGTAGCTGTTGGTTATCAGGGCCAGCAGAATCAGCTGCTGCCTTTCAGAGAAAGCCCTGTTTTACATCTCAAAGCTGACTGGGCAGGCGGAAAATAAGGTCTCCCTGTTTTTTATTGTTTAATTGATGCATTCATTAGTTTGGGGGACACTTTGCAGTCCAGCACTCGCTAAGTTGTCTTATTTATGTAGACATCCTTTGGAAAAGATTTAGGGATCCTACTTACTGGACACAGAGAAGAAGATCCATGTTATAAAACAAAAGTATTGATTTGTAGGGAGAGGAGAGGAGTTTAGCCCTGGTTATTTTCTTATCTTAACAAAACTGGCCACTCAGGGATGTGCAGATGTCTGATTGACAAGTTTCAGAGTGTAAAGATTTCTATTATCCCATACAAACTGCTGACAACCACTCCTGTCAACCATTATTACAGACAAAATGTATTTCACATTTGATAATTAGTATCAGTGTTTTGAAAAGTTTAGAGACTGTCCTCTTTGACACACTAAGAGTTTGACAGACCAAGGGACAGAAAGGATGAAACACTGATTTCTGTATTATACCAACCGCATCTGTTTCTGAGTGGCAGTAATAGGTTCACACACAGCACTACAAGTTTGAATTATGACTAAAGTCAGTGTCTGCTCTATTAAGAGAAAGTCTGTAGAGTCAAGAGAAAGTCTCCTATATTATGAGAACAATTTTTTGGGGGGAAATAGATCTAGTCAAGGGTTTCTTTATTATTTTACCCTATATAGCCCTTAGTGCCCTCTGACCCGGACATCTGAAGAAAGAAAGGAAAGTCAGTCAGTGAAAGATACTGCTATTAACATATTAATGATGAATGTGGAACATACAGATAAGAAGAAATCCCATTTTTCCCATGGATTTATAAGTTGGTGGTGTGAGTAAAATATATTTGTCAATATCTTTGACAAATGTTGAGGGATAAACAATACTTGCATTCTTATGCACAATAAACAATACTGGTTTATAATGATTTTTCAAGCCTTCCTGTCTAAGACCTTAACTTGAGTTTCTTCCAATCCATTGTAAGCCTTTTGCTATAAAGTAAATAATTTTGATGACTTCAGTTGATGACTATTCTAAAAGATATTAAAAGTATTCTAACTTAGCACCATATACACTAAACATATTATTATTTAAGGGCCAAATGTCACTGCTAAAGATGGCAATGTAGACTTGTGTACAAACTGTCGTACATTCAGATGCATTAACAAAGAGTATGAAATTGTGCTAAGAACAGTAGCCCTGCCTTCTTGAGCGTCTCATGTGATCCTGCAGAAATATGTTGAATGAGTGCTTGTTTTACTGAACATTGTCATCAGTTTTACATATTTATCATGTGTACTACAGCATTAGTTCTAACATTTTCCCCCCAAAAAAATCTTTAGGGATAAAACCTGGTTCTTTCCTCTGAGAACATAATGGCTT